CGGCGCTGCCTGTGGCGTGGCCACTGCGCGCTGCGCCCAGGGACTCAGCTGCCGTGCGCTGCCCGGGGAGACGCGGCCCCTACATGCCCTCACCCGCGGCCAGGGCGCCTGCATGCTGGAGTCTGATGCCGCCGAGGTCGTGCCCAGCGACGAGGCTGAAGGTACTACAGTCCCCCATCCCGAAGTCCCCTCCCCTGAGACTGATGATCGGGCCTGAGGACCAGCAGAGGCTTCTCTAAAGGCCACAGCGAGAAGGGCGCAAATGCCCCAGGCCCAGAGGTTGCAGCCTGAGCCTGGAGTGGGGAAAGGAGCTTTAGTAACCTGGTGGAGGCCCAGCATTGCCTGGTCCTGGTGGGAGGCGCCCCAGGAGAAGCAGGGAGAGGCCCAGGGCACACACAGCTTAGTGGAGACTTGGGCAGAGAGCCCACACATGACACCCGCAGCTGAGGGATCTCTAGAGACCCAGACAGTGCAAGTGGAGGGGGGAGATGGGGTTTCCTGGGGCAATGGGGGTGCTACCCGGCTGCCCAGGCCCTGTTCCCTGCCAGCATGTAGGCAGCCCCAGTGGCAGGAGTGTCCAGGAGGGTCTAAAGTGGCAATCCCTCCTGCTGGCCTCCCCAGGAGGTGTTTGGAATGTCCTTTGTAATATACGTCCTGTGGATACAGTATGTGCTTCTCAGATGTTTACAGAACATAATGTGAGAGTTTAGGCTAAAAACTTCTCTTCCATTCATTGCCATAGAAAAACAATGTTTGATGTGTATGTTGCCCCCTGAGAACTTGACAATAAGGTTCTTTCCTGAATTTAAGCAGGGGTTTGTTTGTAGTGGGAAGGGGAGGAAATGCCTCTTTCCCTACTCCAGCCCCCTAGCTCCTCATCTGGGCTGGTTGCACATCCTGTGAGATTCTTGGAGGAATCTCGTGCTTCCATACCCCCATGGGAATCTGTGCGGGAGCTCATGACCCTTCTAAAGAGGGAATACAGTTTTCTTGCAGATTTTCTGCCCTCAGAGTAAATGAAATGGAGCCTACTCAGTGGCCCTCAAAGGAAATAGATTTCCACAGGGTTCCCTTAGAGCAAGTTCTCTAAGATTCTATCCATGCACCCTTGGTCTCTATCTGCAAAATGTCTGATAACCCCCCCCCCCCCCGCCACGCCCTTCAGGGGTTGCAGAGAAGTCACTAAGTAAGTGGCAAGGCAGGGTCCTCAGAAGAGAAGAGGATAGGGCCGGCCCGGTGGCGCACTGCTATAGTGTGCCGCTTGGGAAGCGTGGCGGCGCTCCCGCCGAGGGTTCGGATCCCACATACAGACCGGCTGCTCACTGGCTGAGCGAGGCGCAGGGGTGACACTGAGGGTTGCGATCCATTGCCGGACACGGAAAAAGACAAAAAGGAAAAAAAAAAAAAGGAAGAGAAGAGGATAGTGCTTTGGTCCAGGAGAGCCTCATTCTAGACATCCCCCACCCCACCCAATGAACCCTGCCACCGGATCACGTGGCATTACTGAAATCCCCATTTTATGGATGGGGAAGCTGAGATTCCCAAGTTCTCCACTAACGGGGTCAGGAGTGGAATCCTTTTGGGTCGTCCCCAGCCTCAGCAAATGTGCATATCGATCCCCTCACTGTTGCTTTAGAAGCAAACGCAGGGCACTCTCACCACACCCTGAAACACACAGCACAGAATAGCTGTTGCTGTTGGGCCATCCCTCTTCCAGGAAACCATTAGAAGAAGCCCCTTTAAAGAGGGAGTTGACAAAAATCCAGGTTAATGTGTCCCAGCCTGGTTTTAAGAGAAAGTAACTTTGGGGGCCGGGGGCACAAGTGCAGATGCTTCCGGAGGGCTCATGGGTGTTCGATGTTTCCTTTTCAGAGAACACCCCCACGCCTCCAGAGAATGTGTCCCCCGAGAGTGCGGAGATGACTGAGGAGCAGTTCCTGGAGAGGTTCCACCTGATGGCCCCTTCCAGTGAGGACCGGCCCATCCTGTGGAACGCCATCAGCACCTATGAGAGCATGCGGGCTCGCGAGGTCGCCGACGTCAAAAAATGGAAGGTGAGGCCATGCAGGCAGCACGGTCTCTCTTTTGGGAGCCCTCCAGCTTGTGACCTCTCCTTTCTGGTCCTGACACCCTGGGAAGAAACACTTTTTCTCCCAAAGTCTGATAGACATTTCTCAGCTGGCTGTTAACACGAGGACTTTCAGTAGAGGGGCCCCTTGGATGCAAAGAAAATGCAATTCCTACTGTGCACCTTTAGACAGATTACTCCATGTGTCTGAGCTCATCTCTAAAACGAGAGCGTCAGACTAGACAATCTCCAAAGAGCATTGAGTTACACTGTTTTAAAGCTTAGCCCAAGGGCGTTATTACTCTCAGCCCCATTGTATTTTTTTTAACCCCTTTTAAAAATATTGTGGTAATATATACACAACATAAAAATTTCCATTTTAATCATTTTAAAATATAGGCTTCTGTGGCAAAAAATATTGTAATATATACACAACATAAAAATTTCCATTTTAATCATTTTAAAATATAGGCTTCTGTGGCATTAAGTACATTCACATTATTCTTCAACCATCATCACTACCCCTTTCTAGAACTTTTTCATCTTCCCAAACTAGAATCTGTCCTATTCCATCTTAATTAACATCTGGTTTTAATTCTACCACTTGAGGGCGACAGAGAATCATAGTTGGAGCGATTTGAGGTTGGGGGTGGGGAGGGAGGGGTTAGAAAGAAAATCACTTCTACAAACATGTATGCCCAGAAAAGCGGGGCTTAAACCCGTTCCATCTGGAAATGATGACGAATGGAGGAAAGTTAATTCTTATCTCAAATTATCTAGATGAATGCCTTAATCCTCATTTGATTTGGCTTATGTAGATTGCAGAGGAAAGTTGTTCAAAATCTAGAAATCTGCTGCTAAATTCTCTATTCAGAGAGCTGTGCCCGCTCTCCTTTCAGCCATATCGTTGGTACCAAAACTATTCAGCAAGTGGCAGGAAGAGTCAGGAAGAGTTTTGTGGTGTGGCCCAGGCTCTTGCTGGGGATGTTTCTGTGTTGTTTAGAAAATGCTCGGTGAAGGACAGACTGATGTTTCCATCCTTTGTCTTAATGGCTCAAGACAGAGACAAATCACCCTTGTTTTACAGGTGGGAAGATGAGGCCCAGAGAGGCACATCACATGACACATGGCCTGGTACCCACACAGCCCCGACGAAACCTCTCAATCAGTCATCAGCTAGGCCGACAATTTACTTTCTCTTGTCATTTACCCTAACATTAAATTATTCTTCTAGGGGCCCTGCCAAAGAGAACTCTACACAGTGCTGGAGAGACTGGCCAAGGCACAACAGAAGGCAGGAGAAGAAATTTACAAATTTTATCTGCCAAACTGCAACAAGAATGGATTTTATCACAGCAGACAGGTAGGTGGCATACAGGTGTCCCACGGGGACAGGAACTACAGCCCCATATCCCTGCAAAGCCACAGATTCTCATGGCAAAGAATGTCCAGTCCCAAATACACAGCATAACTGGTCATATTAAGCAAGATCCTCCCTTCTGGGAACCAGGAGCAACCAGTGGAAATAGCCTGATGAACAGCTCAATACAGTCGGTGGAGGGAAACTTGCCCTGGCCAGGGGCCCTGTAGCTCTGTCAGCTCCAGCACTTAGCAAACCAACAGAGCTGGAGGACTTTCCAGGCCTCCCAAGGTTTGGGATCTCAGTTTCCTCACCTGTAATATGAGAGAAAGGAAGCAAACTGAACTTAGGAAAGCAAATATCTGTCTGGACATCTCTTCCTTTTTTTCCCCTCCCCTGCGAAGGAAAACAAACTCTATATGAAAACACAGCAGCATGTTTGTGGCTTGCCAAATGATGAATGAGGTCAAGCAAACCAAGACTTAATTCTGAGGAGCACTTGGGATTCAGTAAAGCGCAGGTTCTGTGGATTTTATTGGGGGAACCCGAGGACTGGACACTGCTTTATAACAGATGGGGAATGGTGGGTCACATACGGGATGTGTTCTCTCCAGGATGGGCCCCCCTCACGTGGGGACATGAAGCAGACAGCTATGCACAACACTGTACCATTTAACACAGGTGTGAAGTCATCATCACATGTGACACGGTCACTATCTCCATTTTATGATGAGAACCAGGAGAGTATCAGATTTGCTCATGTCTCAGCTAGCTGGTGGCTTGGCCGGGTTCTTGGCTGCACTGAGAGAAAGGCTGG